ATCATGAGATGTAGCATTGAAAACAACTGAGTTTCTACAAACAGTAGTAATCCGTCGCTTTAATTTTTGTTCTGGTTGTCAATCCTTTAAATCTATCAACACATATCGATATATATAATATAAAATTAATAGTAGCATCGTTCACTGGTGATGAATATAATAAATTAAGGAGACTTAGTAATCAAAATTCATATAATACATGATGCACACATCCACACATCTAGTTGGAACGTGAAAGAAAGACATAAAGTTGCAAATAAAAAATAAAAAATTTTGTAAAATATATGCAAAGTACTAAGTTAATTCAAATCAATGTGCTGATCGAAAGCCATACCGGTAATTGAATCCATCAAAGTGGTAAACAGAAGAAGTCAACTCAATTATAATTAAAATAATATAATTTAATTAAGTATACAAAAATATGATTCTAAAAAAAGTACTCCCCCTTTGTCCTATTTACAAGTTAATTTTAACATTTTTACTGAAATTAAAAAAATTTTAAATTCATCTAACTCTGTTTAAAAATTCAACAAATTTCTATCTTTATTCATATTAAATACACATACTTTAAAAATAAAATATTTTAACATTTAATAGCATTATCAATATTTAATAAGAATAAAATGATAAAAATAAATGTAATAATCATTGAAGTAACCTCTAAATAGAATCAAAATAAATATTCTATCTCTACACTTTAAATAGGATTTAAAGAGTAATATTTAAATAAAAAAGATATTAATTCACATGCAAATGAAACATCTATGTTTAAACCACAATTAATCCAATAAAATAGAGCCATTAAAGCGCAAAACCAATGCATTTCTATCTTTTTTTTTTTTTAACTCAAAGTGATGTTATTTTAGGATTAGCAAGGTGAGGACAAAAGTTTAAAATCAAATTCGATCATCCAAAACTCTTAATTGAACTAATTAGAAGACTAGTTTTCTGATTTAATTTACCATTGTCTGACTGGTTAGCTCAAATTGAGTTTGAACTTCTAATGCCATGGTTAAAGGGGACCAATTAATCTTAATTAGCTCACTACTTCTTACAATCAACCAAATTAGATGTCGTGTAAATAAATAAAATACGTATGCAGTAAAAGAACAAAAGCTTCTTACTGATAATAAAGTGATTGATGAGTGTTCTCTATATTGGTTCCATACTTTCTTTTTCTAGTTCCATCAATAAAAGGTCCTCGTCTAGAATAAACGAAGAAATCATCATTCAGTCCATTATTGAGCAGTGTGTTCAAAGAGGACATTGCTTTTGTAAAATTTTAAAAAGCACGTGGGCAGCACTCTAAAAGAGGAATGTAATTGAGAGCCGAAAGTCAAGCTAATTTACCTAATAAAACACGACTAGTTTGTCCTATCTGAGGGGGAAAATATTAGTTTAAACAAGTTGATATTTAGCTGGAGAGACCAATTATTGTTTGGATAATTTAAAATGAAAATCACAGATAGGTAAAAACAAAAAAAAAAAGCCAATTGAACTAATGGTTATTATATTTACGGGTTTTTTTAAAAAATAAATTATACATATTAATGTAAATAATTATAAATTCACAAGTCTTAATAACAATAACGTAACTTTCACTTTATAACTGATATCTTTATTTATAATTTTCTAAGGGCCATTTGTTTTATATTAAAAAATAAGTAATTTTTTAGAAAGTTTGGAAATTTTATAACAAATACTTATTTTATTAGATATTATTTTATGTTTTTTTATAATCATAAAAATTATTTTTATTTAATTATTTTTAAATTTTATAATATTTTCTCAGATCTCTATTTGTGAAAAATAATTTATTATTTAATTATTTCAAAAGTTTATAATATTTTCATATATCTCCTATTTTTATGGTACTCTCCTTCATCTTCTTTTTTTAAAATCTAATTAATTTTAAAATTTATATAAGCGTCATAAAATTTTACAAAATAATTTTTTTTAAAAATGATTTCTTTAAGAAAAAAGTTTATGCCAACAAACGATATTTGCAATATTTAAACTGTTTTTTAGACATAACTATGAATAATTCGCTCTTTTAAGATTTAATAGTTATTTTGTCTAATTTAAAAGAGTAAAATTTGCTGAATTTGACTTTCTTCCCCACAATTTGCGAGCATCAATGGAGGTCATCGTGTGCCCATGGCGGAGGAGCTCCTTTGGTCATTGCTTTGGGTGCTTCTGCTGGGGAAAGTAGAACATGTCAAATCTTAAGTGGGCCCACTAATTACACCACACTAATTACACCATATCCTATTCTTTTGTCGGCCCAAATAGTTCTTGTTGCACCACAGAGGCTGGTTGAAATTTGTTAAGCATTACCGACAAAAATTGGGTTATTTGGTAAAAAAATTGACCCATAACTTATAAAGTTTGAAATTAAATCTCACTATTTATGAGAGTATCTTGGGCGTGTTTAAATTTCAATTGAAAAAAAGTAATTACAGAAAAATTTGATTAATAAAATGTGATAATATTTTATAAACTTAATTTTAATAATTGAAGATGTCTGGATAATTTTTTAAAATCAATTATAAAGATGAGGAAAAATAAAAAAATGATTATATGTTGAGAATCCATTTTCAAATGGAGAAGAAATAGCTCAGGCTAAATGGAGTTTCAAAAAGCAAGCAAAGCTTGGAGAAATTGGAATTGTTTGAAAAAGTGATATCTAAGTACTTTTATTAGAGTATTTTGAATTGGAAGCATGCTTAACTTTGGTAAGTCCTTGAAAGTGAACTCATTTAGAATTTCTGTGACCAAGAAAAATTTGTTAAGCATTTTTTTTTATATTTTTTATATTCTTAAACTTTTTTTTGAGCAAAAAAAAAAGACTATTTTATTAATATCAAAAGAAATATTACACTCACTAATCCCCTGTAAAAAGAAAACAAAGACATGAAATACAACCTAAAAAAACACAAACCAAAAACAGAAAACAATACGCTTAAGAGTACAACCTATAAAGCAATAAAAGAAAAACACAAAACAAAACGAAATACAACTAAAGGCCAGTAAGCCAGCATCAGCCAATGCCTTCCTTTGCCTTCTCATCAGCAATTGTGACCTCCATATCAAGCACATCCTTATTCTTCAAATCAACACATCTACCATGCAGGTCCTGCAACAAAATGGAGACAAGCGAAGATGGTGGGTCATAGAGCCATCCTTGTGGTACCATGCTTCTCACACTAGTTGCAATCCAATCAGCAGCATAATTCCCTACAACTAAAGAAAAGGAGCAGAAACCATCAGACCTACATAGTTCAAAACACTTTTGAAGAATATCAGCACATGCCCATTCACAACCTTTCATATCCTTAGCCACCATTCTTCGATAAAAATCTTGACAATCTGTCTCTAAACAGACTTTTTCATCAATAAACAAGTCTCTTAATGAAAGAGCTTTCAATATTGCCAAACGTTCAACCATAAAAGCTGAATCAGCAACCACTACTCTTCCCACACCCCCCAAAAATTGACCCTGACCATTCCTACCCACCACTCCAATAGCAACCTTCTTCCTTCTAACACAAAAAGCATTATCAATGTTCAACTTCACCATCTTTTCAATTGGTTTTTGCCAATTTAAAGCTTTATTAGAATTTTTATCCAAAACCTATACCTTCTTCTGATTCACCACATTAACCCAATACTCATTTACCAACCCCACAGCCTTACTTAAGTAAAGATCTGCATTAATCTCCACCCTATCAAACATGAAATCACACCTGGCCTTCCAAATCATCCAACATGTGGCTGCAAAAATAGCCATTGGGTAATCATTCACATCTTCCCTATTTACCAACCAATCCTGTAACCAGCTATCCAATTTTCTCAAATTCCATTAGTTAAACTTTAAGGATAATGAAGAAGCAAACCAGCATTTCTTTGCCTTACATTTTTCCAATTGATTTTTCAACTTCAATAATGAACGGTGTTACAAGTGATTGTGCATTAAAAATATTCAAACTAAATATTAAATAAATCCTCATATCCTAACGAGACTCAACCTTACACCTTTGTTAGTGTGGAGTTTGATGCTTATCTACTAGATTAACTTTTAAGCCATATCTATGGTATTTATATAGGATGGGAGGTTAATTAAAAAATCAATAAATAAATCCCCTAAATATATCAATTTAGAGAGTAAATTTTGCCTTACATTGTCTTGAAAAATGAAAAAAAAATAGAAGCATACATAAAAATAAAATGAAAGTGTAAACAAAAGAGTTATCCCTCAAATTTTCCCAAACCACCTTGTTTTGGTTTGTTTAGAAAAAAAAACAAAAGTATATTAATTTAAATACAAAGATTTTTAGTTTTTTTGGTGCACATTTATTTTTAAATTTCATATTGAATACATTAAATTATTATAATATATTAAATGAGTGAATATTAATGGGTAATTACTCTGTCCTTTTAACAAATACATATCTCATCAAGATTAAAGAAGACAAGTAAAATATTAACATAAGCTAAATTTAATAGAAAAAGTTAATTTCTTACAACATGAAAAACCAATATTTAAAAGAAGTGATCATGTTTAATGTTCCATCATACATGAAATAGAATTGACTCCAAAGATTACCTCTCTCTCTCTCCTTCTACGCACAATGTCATCGCTCCATTTAATATAATGCTTTAGATAAGAACATTTGTTTTTTTTTTTAATAAATAAGAACAGAACATCACTTCCAAAAGAAAAACGCAGGTTCAGGCCAAAAAAAAAAACGTAGGGATTATAACATTGACATTGATTGACGGCAAACAAATAGCGTGAATCCCACACATTTTGTTCCCTCACAGTCACAAGTTAGATTTTTTTTCCGCCAATCAGAAGTCAAAATTCTTTCTTTGATTTCTTCCTTTTATACCAACTCTAAAAAGAACTTGTTTTTTATTTAAAAAAAAAAAGTTACGGGCTTTGCTAAATATGAAAGGGCTTTGGTTTGGGCTTCAATGCATGTACCGAAGCACAGGGCCGACAATCATGTTTCTAAATCTGTGTGCAGAATGGGGACTGCGCATGATCTTTGCTTTGTAGAGCTCGCTTCCCCAATTGATCAATGCGCCATCTGTTTTCCGTCCCTGTTGTTTCAGGTATCTTCTGTTGTTTTTGCTATAGAATTTCAGAAACTTCGGTCAGTTATATTCATTTTTGTTTGTGATTTCTTCATAGGTTACTACTTTACTCCTTATTTTCAAGATGGATGTAGTTTTCAGCTTTAGTTTTTTGGAAATTGGGTTGGAGCTGTTTGGAGTTCTGTACTTCATGGGTTTTGTGCTTATGAAATTTCTGTTTCTGGGTGTGGTTTCTTCCTGATTTATTTGCTCGTTCATTGTATTTGATAGTTTTAGAGTAGGATTTGAAATGCACAAGCAGTTTCGTGAGCGTACAAAACGCAAAATTTTGGAGATTTCGCATTGCATGTAAAGGATCCTATTGCAGTTATGGAGATCGCCTTAACCCTTTTATTTTGAATGGGAGGGAAGGGCGGGCGGCAAAGAGATGTTAGAATGATAAGCTATTGGCTTGTTGCGTATCCTAGAAATGAACGCTGGACTTACTGAGTTATGCTTGAGTTACTTAGATCTGGGTAAAAGGTCACCAGTGAGCGTATTAATATCTGCTAATTGAATATTATGCACAATGTGTAATTGCTTATCTTGGAAGGTGGCTTCAACAAAACAACTATTACTCCTTCTACAAAAGTTCGGTATTGCAATGTTTCTCTCAAGATAATATCGATACAGGCTACAGAATTACAGATTGAAAGCTTTGGAGGAATAAAAGTTGGAACGTGGCTTCAATGTTTTGCTGTCAAGACATATACCTTGAGCTTATTCCTTGGTTCAAAGAAGATCTTGTTTATTTGGCAAAGGGAAAGACTTTGGTTATAATTGTGTGTAAGCACATAAAAAAGCGCATCAAATCTGTTTTCAGCTGTTTTTCTATGTTATCTGTTGGGTTCTGGAGGGTGGGGACAATGGTGCTGGAGTGCATGTTAGATATGAGTGTCAAAAGTCAAACCTAATTGGGTTTGCATGTGATGTATAAATGACAACACGCGGACTTAAGTTTGAGGTATTATTATAAACTAGTGAAGGAAAGCAAGGGTAGGATAACCATACAAAATTATAATTTGTTCTTTGAGCCCATTTTGTGTGAAAAGGACTATAAGGACACAAACTTTGACGCAAGAACTTCATGTCATGTGCAAATTAATACACTTTGTGGACTTAGAAACAAATAAGTCCCAAGTGTTTTAAAACATCATATTAGGGACGCACATCGTTGATGGTAATTTCCCTATTGGTGTTCTATTTTTTTATATAATGATGTTTCTTAGGAATCCTTGAACTTCCCAATAAGCTACCCGATGCTTGCAGCTTACATATTTTAGGACCATAAAAGGTCTCTACTGTCTTTTGTTTAAATACAATTAGGTAATAGTATAAACACTGTTTGGTACAATGTATGTAAATATATTTAGTAGCCTTAGATAAGCCGTATAAGGGCAGCATAGGTGTAGAACTAGTCTCTTATTAGCATATCGGCAACAAGAAATACCGTTGGTAGATTGACTTGCAAATGAAATCTCTGAATTTACTAAAATTTACACTGAACAGTCAGAAACATATTTAGCTGGCAGCTGCTTTAGTCCAAAATTGTTAGATATATTTGTATTGTCTATGTTTAGTACTTTTTATGATATACTTATTTAATTATTAAGTGCTGGATTCTATCTTAGCTTTCAATTTTAATTAAAATATATTTATTTTAGAAAATTTGCTTTTGCCATGGTTGGACTACTAAACCGCTTCCCCTCTTTCAGTGGTTCAGGCTTCAGTCTCTGAAGTCTGATCCATTTTTGTGGAACATCCAATATATTAGTGCAATCACATTTCTCCACCTAGTGGGTTCCACTTTCAAGTTTTCTGGCGCCAGTTGTGTTTTGTCAGTCTTTTTTTGTTTTGTGACTGATAAAATTTTGTAGTGCTTTTTCATAGTATGTGTTTAATGTTGTCAATTCTTAGGTAAGCACTAATCTAAAGCTATGATGTGATGGCTGTGCGTATATAGTGCTATAGATTCATTAATATCTGGTTGATTTACGGATGTGATCTTCACTCGTCAGAGTTTATGGGTAGAAAAGGCTCATTTAGACTTAAAACTTGATCTTTGTTATTTTTTTGGGGGAATCAAATGGAGGTTTACATGAGAAATTCAGCTGATGATATGAACATTTCACCAAAAAAATAGTGACTGAATTCTACTTTCTGTAATTGTTCTTTCACGACTTTAATGGTATCTCTGCTTGTAGCATGTTGAAGCGTGGGTACAAATCAAAGGCATGGAGTGGTCCTCAGAATTGGCGGGTCCCATTACTTCTTGTATTTCTTACACTGATGCTTGTTGGACTTCTGTTACTATTTCAAGATGAAGTTCAAAAGCCTAAGTTATCTGACAGACTTCAAAAACAGAAGTGGAATAGGTTTGACTCGATAGTACAACTGCATCCCACAGTAGAGTTCCGGAATGGAACAGATGTAATATGGCAAATGCCTGAATCGCCCAAGGCTGTTCTCTTTCTGGCTCATGGATGCAATGGCAGAGCCATCAACTTTTGGGACCAATCACTTGAGTGCCCTAACTGTGTTGGGCTACCCGAAGAACGATTACTTGTACTTAATGGTCTTGCTCGAAAGTTTGCTGTTATTACTATTTCAAGTGCTGGAAGATGCTGGACGTTAAATGAAGAAGTTTTAATTGTTAAAAACATCATAAATTGGTGGATTAGTGAAAGGAAACTTGATAAACTTCCTCTTGTAGCTTTGGGTGCTTCTTCTGGTGGGTATTTTGTATCTGTGCTTGCTAATATTATGAAGCTTAGTAGCATTGTTCTCATGATAGCGGAAGGAACATTTGGGCAAATCAATATGAAAAAGGACTATCCGCCTACTCTCTTTGTGCACATGCCTAAAGATCTCTACAGGCAGCAGAAAATAGATGAATATGTGGAAATTTTTAAAGATAAAGGGGTAGACGTTGATGTTATTGAATGCATGGAGTTCCCTTTATCACCAAACACTTTAGCTGATAGAATTCCTGGTCTTGATCGATCTGTTTCTGCAAGGCTGTTTGAGTTCTTTCAGGAAAAGGGATTTATTGATGAAAAAGGATACATGAAGAATGATGGGCGTGCATTGAATTGGAAAAGGGCTCTTCAGGAGAAGAAAAGTCTCTCACTTGATAAGAATCTGTTCCCACACATCCAAGAGGAGCTAAACCTTGCATTTGCTTTCCATGAGATGACTAGCGTTCATTCTGATCAGATCTTTAAGTGGTTTGAATCTCACATGAGCTGATAAAACCTTACTCAGTTTTTTTTTTCTTTTCTATCTTTGTAATATAAATTAATATATATAGCCATTATGACACTGTCTTTTCCTTAAAAAAATTAGGCAAAATAGTCTTCCTCTCAATTTTGTAATATCCAGTGGTTCACATGTAAAGTTTTCTAATTGATGGTACCTCTGGTCACACAGATAAGATACAGAGATTATGGCAGCTCAAAATATTTATTATTCACGTCCGATTTATAGTATCTGGTTCAAGAATTGAAGACGTATTGACACAGTGTGGCTCTATTTAAATTATTATCCATATTAATGCGGCACCAACATCACCTAGAACGAGACTCCCTAACCTAAGAGATGACATGTCTGATTGGCTGATGTTATAATGAACCCAATAAATCATAATCAACTTTACATAAATGAAGAAGGATTTACTGTCAGGAAAAGCTGAAGATAGCCGTAAATGTGGAGCATGCCTATATTTAATTATTTATGGAGTTCAACTACAAGGGCACCAACTATACCTCCAATAACTATAACTCGCTCATCTCCAATACCAACACCCCCCCACCCCAAAAAAGAGAAAAAAAAAAATGGTTTTGCATGTTCTATTTCACAGGGTTCCCTAGGACATTGACAAATATGTTATGTGTTTACATGTGACTGCCAAACCTAAGAAGATGACATGTCTGTTGTTTGATGTTATAATGAAACCCCATAAATCATAATCAACTTTACATAAATGAAGAAAGCCATGAGTGCAAGAGCATACCTACATTTATGGGGTTCAGCTGCAACTCACCCATTTTTCCTCCACAGTTATGGTCTAGTGTTTTTTATTTCTTAGGGTTCCTTAGGATGTTGTCTAATGTTTTGTGTCTGCATTTATGTTGACTGCTAAACCATCCCATTGCATTTGACTAGAGAAAATGAAAACAAAACTCTGAACATGGTGGGGTGTGGGCCTTGCTCTTGCCTGTCTCCACAGCTCAGCTTCCTTGCTGTCACTTTAAATGGAATTCATGTACTATATACCGTACGTACAACTAATTGCCACCCGGATGGCTAAATTTGGATTACTTTGTCTAAAAGTAAAATTAATTTTAAATTGGAAGATGACCTTTCACAGAATTTTGAATACTTGTCAGATCCTCATTTACTGTTAAAATTTACCAGGTTTAAATGCTAATAATATATGATATATAGTGAAACAACCCCATGACTTTTTATTTTTTTCTTCTTCTTTTGCTGTTTTGCAACGGTTTGTGGTTCTCTTGTTTGTTGTTTAACAGCTCATTTTTGAACAAAAATTACTAAGAACCTTTCTGTTTTGATTGATGATATCTCATACTCTGATACTTAGCCTGTATTAAATTGACGTGACAGGGCCTTTAAACTGAACGAAAATTTTAGATTATCAAAAGTAAAAATTAATGAACTTTTATTCAAAACTGATAAACCAAAGAAGCTAACAATTTTATAGCTGGAGAGTACTGACAAACTATCCTTGTCAAAGTAACACTGAAGAATCAAAAACAGCACACACTAGCTAGTAGCTGATGAATAAAACTCTTACATTTAATGAAACATTCTCATTTTTTTTTTAATAAACAGAAACACACAAAAACCAAACAATTGCTGATCATATCTGATCAATCTCGAGGCTTCATTCGTCCCTCATTGGCCATTCTGAAGAGTTGAGCCTGTGCTGCAGCAGCATTGTTGGAGCCAGCGGAAGCCACAAATCTGTCTCTGACTTGATTGGTGGTGTAAGGGAACTTGTTGTTGACAAGAGAGTTGAGGAATGAAGCTGTACCTTCTCTGTAGAGAGCTCCAAGACCATCAGTTCTTGTGTTGGAAAGAGCTTCAGGAAGGGACATAGTTGCTCCACTGAACCCTGGAACGCTGCTGCTTGTCACTCCAAATGCACTGCCTAGGGTTCCCCACCACCCAAGCAATCCCCAGATGACTGCTGGGTGGTTCCTCCAGTAGCTGCAGATCACACCAACACTCATTGCATAAGATCATATAATCTTCCTACTATATCGGATATTGGATATGATACAACATGGTATATATAATAATAATAATAATAATAATAATAATATGTCAGGATGTGATAATTTTTGAAATTTTAAGGTACGAGTGTGAGGAGAGGAGTGTGTCATGTGTGACAATTATAAATAAACAAGATGGAAAAAAGGTGTACTTTAAGTCAACATTTCAAATGTATGTTAAAGATGTTCATAACATAAATATCAATAAAAATTTAAAATGAATTTTAGTTTTCAGTTTAAACTAACTGTCAATCTGTATCTTCGTATAGCAAAATATATTAGGTGCATTATATCTACATATCCTATGCAAACAAATTTATTTTTTTAAAAAATATTATTATCGATGCTTCATAGATCCTAGTAAGACATAGCTCAACTCTTTCAAGTTTCAACTAAGTAACCATACATTTTGCCTTTATTTTTAAACCTGAGTCATTACATCCTTCCTTGTTATTTCTTATATATGAAATGTAATGTTTTCTTTCTGCAGTAAGAGACTGAAAGGAACTTACCTGCAAGTACCAGTGAAGGGAGAAGAAGGAGGAGAAGGAAGGTAAGGGGGTGATGAAGGGGTAGTGGGGGTGCCGGGGTCGGTTGGGGTGGCCGGCGGGCTGCCACCTCCATAAGAAGGTGGCGAGTTGTAGTAGCCGCCACCACCTCTTGACGGCGGGTTTGATGGGGTGGACGGTGTTGGAGAAGGATCATGATGCGGTGGTGATCCACAGTTCCTGCCGCCAGAAGGTGTTGACGGGGTCGGATTATGGCTCCCACCACCTCCATGATGAGAAGGTGGTGATGGGCTACCGTAGCCACCACCGGAGCCATGATCAGATGGTGGAGGATTCCCATATGAGCCTGAGCCTGCAGAAAACAAAGCGGAAGTTCTCAAAACTGTCTCTTTTTAAGCATTTGATCATTCAAACCTGCTCATGCATAGCCATGAACTGTATCAGACGAAGAAAGAAAAACAGATTTATTTCAGAGAATGAGAGACCTGAGGGAGGAGATCCTGGATGTGGGTATGGAGGGAGAAAGCTTTTCTGATTTTCAATGGTGGTGGTGGAAGAGATCACGGGGATTACAAGATCGTGGGAAATCAATGCAGTGATGAGTGTGAAAATGAACAGAGAAGCAGATGGACTGCTTCTTCTGATCTTCTCCATGTCTGAGCCTGCTAAGGAAAAAAAAAAACAAAGAGGAAGAAGAAGAAATGAGGGTTTAGGGTTTTCGTAAGTGTGGATTGGAGAAGGGTGTGAAGGAGGAATATATAAGAGGATGGTTCAAAGGAAGTGAAGTTAATTCTGCAGGTGGAGAAGCATATGGTTGGTTGATGTGTTGCAGGCTGCATTTACTCATTCTGTGCATTACTGTTCACTGTTGTTCAGTGTTCACTCCTTTCTCGTCCAATAAATAATGCTTTTTCAAGAAGAAGAAGAAGAAGAAGAAAACACTGAAGGAGCTAATTAAAGATACAGGATTTGTTTCCTGTTGGTCAGAATAAACTCAATGGTGAATTCTGTTTTTATTAAGGATAAATGGGTTTAAATTCTCTAAAATTGAAGTTGAATTTTTGTAAAATTTTTTGTTTTATGCAAGAGAGAAGATTTTATATTTTATAAAATAAGTGAAAATACTTAAAAAAAAAGAAAATTTCAGTTATATTCACCAATCTCAATTTTAGAGAATTTAAATTCAGGATAAATAGATCAAATCAAGAAAAAACAAGAAAGATGTATGTATTTTCTTCGTTTACAATTTACAAAGAGTAATTCACTTGAAATATATTGTTGCTTGTCCGTCACATGAACATGAAAGATGTATTTTTTTTTAAGAAAAATAAATTTTATCAAAGAATCAACTTATGTCTTACAAATTGTTTTGCTTAAAAGATCTTAAAAATTTAGTTATTTTCAAGAGAAATAAAGTTACTATCAAATTTTATGAGCTTTTTTTTATAACAAATTTTCTTAAAAATTTGTGGTGAGCTCTTTTTTTTTTAAAAAAAATCAGCGGTAAATTTCATAAAATATATCAATAACTTTAATATTTAAAGATAATTATAATTTTTAAGATCCTTTAGCATCTTTTCCAAAAAAATAAGCCTGTTAATGTAATTTTCTCCTACCTTTTAACATGTTTACGCATTTTTATGGTTAATTCAATTAGTTTATTAGTATTTAATAAATTGAGTTAATTTTTTTTTTGTTGGAGAGTGATGTTAAGCTGAATTATGCATAAATTGATCATTAAATTCATATAGGTCCCATGTGCTATATATGTATGTATGCGTGGGTATACACAGTGCAAGTGGATTCAGTAGTTGAGGAGGTTTTAGCAGTTGACAAAAAGGGCTACACATACTTGTGCTTCTTCTTCAATGAAATTAGGAGATCCCACGTGAAAACAATACCATGCACTTCATATGAAAGTCTGCAACATGCAAAATCGCTTTGATAAAGGTACGTTGATTCATTCATACAACGTGGATTGAATTGCACTTCCAATTCCTAATTGAAGATCTTGTTAGCAAATAATTGATAAATACTTCTTCTTCTTCTTTTTTTTTTTTAAATTGTGTACAATATCTCTTTTAGCATGAACTTATTTTATCATATTATGAGGGACTAGTCCCAATGATGAACATATGATGTTGAGTTGGTAGGAAATAAATTATATAAAATAAAAAATAATAAAAAAATAATTTAATATATATATATATAATAAATATTTAGTTTTGTAAATTAATATTAGAAAAGGAAATTAAAATGATATTTTTCTAAAAATAATCTAAATTTAAAGATAAGAATTAAAAATTAAAAATTTATTGACTTAAGTGAAATATAAAAGACTAATTTTTTTTTAACTCAACATATTTTAGGTTGGATTTAGCGGGTTCAAAACTATTGGGACAATGGAAATTTTTTTTTAAAAAGTTTCACCTACTTGCAAATTTTTTTAAGTTGAGTGGAAGCACCTGCCCATCATTTATACATGCATTTGCCGTTGATTAGTCTCTTCTGCTAGCCCATGTTAGTAATATATATAAATATTTCTATTAGTGTCAATCGGATTGTGAAGCCTATTACAACAATGATGAACTCTTAAGACCTAACTTAATGTTTTATTTAATTTTATTGCTTGGTATTCTTGGAAAACTGAGGGTATTACCACCTCCTGCTCAAAGTAATTCGAACTCCCACAATTTGGGATGATTATTACCAACGATGGTTTCATGAATATTTTGGGGATGCCTTTGGCATACTTCATTTGGATAATAATATAAAACATCTATTAAAAATCTTTCTTGGTCCAAAATATAAGGCACCGGATAACTTTACTTTTATTTTTTCAATTATATCCCTATTTTATTTATTACTCTTTTTTTAAAAAATCATGCGCTAGAATTTTAATTATTATTATCAATGCTCTTACATAGGGTATTTAATGAGGGTATAAATGAAAAGATGTGAACATTTTTAAGAATTTAATATTTCAACTAACATTATTCGTAAACCGTATATTAACTAACAATCATTTATATTATGTTTGAAGGGATTATTTATTTAACTTGATTGCATATTTTAGGACTCTAACTTGATGTTTCACTTGATTCAACTTCCTCGATTAGTTGAACCAAATGCCTCTTGATCAACTCAATGTTATTTAAATGAGAGGGATTTAGATTCAGTGAGTAGCACAAATACACACATTCAATGAGTGTTTCATATGACACAATAACAACTATTACTTTTATATGAGATTTTGTCATATCATATTCAGAAAGCATTAAATTTTAAATTTTTGAAGAGGACAACGTACACAAGGGCAAGGATATTTTGATTTTTTTTTAAACACGTATCTTGATAATTTTCATAAAAGCTAATGGTTATAATTAAAAAACTCATTGAGTTAGTTGATTCAAGCCATTCATTCAATCCAAATGTAGAGACAAAATTTGTGGAGACTAATATAAATAGGGATGAATGTCAATATTAATGATGCATCTAATGTTTTGTGACAGTGATGAATGATTAGTTAACTAATACTCCGCCGGTTTAATATATTAGGTGCTTTCTAGAAGCAAAATATGATACACTTTATAAGTTATTAGTTAATAAGATTATTTTGTTTTAAATTAAAACCTCCAAATTATTCTTAAAAAGTAAGATAGAGACAAAAAAATAATATTATATAATTTGTTTTACTTTTTTTTATTCAAGGGTTTTGTTTGAAATTTTATTTATTTTATTTTTTATATTTTTATTATATTAGTATTGATGAGTGGATAAAGATGATTAATAAGGAGCCAAGGGAGTAATGATTTACTTAATTGGGAGCACTATGTTGTGTATCCATCAGAAGCTTTTGAATTCAATTCTCGTTCGTTGGTTGGTGTTCATTAAAAGCGGTGGGTTTTGCCTTAAAATTGAATCAACCTATCGGATTTAATTTAACTTGACTTCCGGTCTCCCACACCCCACCCCCAACCAAAAAAAAAAAAAAAAAATCATTTGACTCAATTATCAATAATTATTTTATACAAGTAATTGGATGTGTTATATGCATTATACATTTTGAGAAGACTAAGATTATATTTCAACAAAGCAGATTTTATTAAATTTTCATTAAAAAAATTGAGCCATTTAAATTAGTTTAAACCCTTCATATAAATTGTATATTCCCAGCGTAATTTTGAAGTTGTTTCCAGGTCCTGCCAATATTCTTGACATAAAAACTCCTAAAAATGGAAATAGTTGGTTCAGTCCCACTGATCATTTCAAATTGTTAGTTTGTTATTGCAATGAGAGAGAGAGAGAGAGAGAGAGAGAGCACATATCTCTCTGTTTTTTTTAACCCAAAAAAAAAAAAAACAGAGATCTGCAGTAAATTTTCCACGTATCAATGCCTCTACCCAAAAAGTCAAAAACGCAAAAGCGCAGGTTGGCTGCTGAGCTGTCTCATTTGAACCGGAAAAAAAGATAATAAATTTTTTTTAAAATATGTAAATGATAATTTAATCTTTTAAAATATTATAATTTTTTAAAAGTTTTAGGATCTTTTCTGTCATTAATAAACTTATTGAAATTACTAAATTGTCCTTATTAAAAATAAATAATTCACTAATTTTGTTTAAATATTCACAACTTTCCTTCTTATATTTACAACAATGTAATATCAAATCATAACTTCACATGTTAAATTTTTTATTTACTATTATATTGTTGTGAATATAAAAAGAAAAATTGTGAATATTTAAACAAAACTTATGAATCATTTATTTTCAATAAGGATAATTATTTATCAATGATAAAATTTTTAAAAAAATTTAAAAAATTGTGATATTTTGAAAGATCAAATTATTATTTTTATATTTTAAAAAAAATTATTATCATTTTTTCTTGAATCAATGCTCCTGAGTTCAGGAATATCTGTACCAAGTTTACGTGTATATTCTATTCATACAAAAAAAATGTTTGTTGGTTTACTGACAAGTGTTAGTTTCATTGAAAAAACTATAAACCGCTTAAACAAAGGTTTCAAACTCGAGTCCACATGAATACCGAAACACCTTTGATGAGAACTCAATTAGACCCAAAAATGATTAGATCTAATCTAATCCGGTAACCATTTTACCAAAAAAAAAAAAAACTTACTAATTACAATATGAGCTTTTATTTTTTTTAATTTCATTGCTCAGTATCTTGAAAAATCAAACTAATTCAAATTCCTACCATGTGAGATTATTATTACCAATAATAATTTCACAATAACTCGAGGATATCTTTTACATATTTATTTAACACAATTGTCTATTCCAGGACTTGAACTCAAGACCTAGAACAAACTGATTTAATTCTTCTGACCAATTAAATCAAATGCCGTCAATTAAATAGGAACTTTTTAATCCGTAAATAATTATTATGTGTCATATATATATATATATATATATATATATAATTTTTAATATTGAAATCAACAAATGTTTTCCCATTGTTCTATCCATACTTGAGAGGGAAAAAAAACATGTATTTCTTTCTCCCCTTCCTTTTCATAAGATGTCTTTTGGAAAGTTTTAAAATTCCTATTTACAAGCCGTTTTACAAAATCCATGCTGTAATTAATTTTTTTATCCCCTCTTGAAAACACCTCTAAAAGGGGTGGTTTTAATTAATTAAAAAAGAGAGTGAGGGAGATAAGAGTATTTGAGGAAGGTTATTTGTG